GGGGAGGAGGGGAAGAGAAGAAAGAGGAGGGGCGAGAGGAGAAAAAAGAGGGGAAAGGGAGGGTCTAGCGGAAAGGTTCAGGATGTAAGGAAGCAAAGCAAAGCAAAGCATAAGCAGTGCGCCGGTCCTCGAAGTGTGATGGCAGCGAGAGCGAGACACACACACACCAGCGGTGGAGCGAGATCAAGACGGGCGGGACACACTAAACGGGGGGGGATGGATTGAGAATCAGATACAATGTATAACTAATTCCTTTTTTGTGAACAAGAATGCTGATCCATCCGCAAAGACGGCCGAGGGGACCGAGTTGGTTGGTGACTTTGTGCCCACGAACCTCTCAGGAGTTCAGCCCGGTCTTGAGACCGTTCAGGGGCAGAAATGGGGGGGAGGGAAAGATGGTGAGTGATGGTTGGTTGGTTGGTTAATAATAATGGGTGTGGAAAAAGTGGATTGGCCCGGGTGCCTTTCTCTCTCTCTCTCCACTTTCAAGTCACAAGTGTCGAATAAACTGAATAAGTTCATTTGATTCACTGAGGGAGAGAATGAGAAGGAAGGGAAAAGAAAAAAAAAAAAAAAAAAAGAAAGGAAGTCAAGTAGATTAATCCCTATATTAATGTATCTTTCTGTCTGTCTCTGGTCTCCCACTCTCATTAATCAGGCCATTGACAAGTGGACTAGTTACTACTAAGTACTTGATGAACTGAAGTTATGTCCCTGAAGGCAACACCAGATGGGGATCCAATAATGACGCCGCAGAAGGAAGTCCGACCGTGGGACTATTGGTTGAACCAATTTCCAATTGACTGAACTCTCAGGTACCGATTGACTTACTTAGTAGGTAGTGGTTAGTACTAGTTCACACCCCTTCTCCACGGTCGCGGAATACAATTGTTAGAGAACGACTCATGTTGCTGCTCGTGGTTCCAATTCCTCTCGGCATCCGACAACCGGCGTGAACGGGAGGAGGAGGAAGAGGAAGCAGCAGGGATGATGATGATGATGCGGGTTTGCTTTTCATCTGCAGGTGGCTTTCCTGGTCGCTGCCAGGGCCCGTGCGACGGTTACTTACTTTACCGATAGGATACCAAGGTCATACACGACGGTATGGTGTTAATAATACTTTAATACGTATCGGCTAGGCTCAAAATCGGTCAGGATAGCCATGCGATCGTCCACTGCTAATTATCCAGGCCCCAAATATACTATCTCTCTATCGCTGAGAAATTCTCCTGGATGGAGTCTAACGTAATCCACGGGTAGATGGCCCACTACAGTTAGATAGCCCACCCCATTAAAAACACCACCTCAAATTCTTACCCGAAGCCATTTAACCACCACAATACCACCAAAAATGCCTATCTTATCAAAAGCACAAGTAAAACAAGAAGACAGGATTTTTCTTACTATTAAAATTATTCAGAAAAATTAAATCACCAGTATTTACAAGGCAGCGTATATTTATAATATTTCTTAAACTATTCTCTGTAATTAATTATCTGGATATAATTTTATTTAAGATATAACTTTTAAATATTAAAAATTATTAAAAAACAAGGAGAATTTGCTTGTTAAATAAATTTTATTTTTAAATAAGTAAGATACAAGTTCCCGGCTGTTTAATATTAGAAAAATAACTAATATAATTCTATCTAAACAAAATCATATAACTTCTAAAGAGATAGATATTAACTAGACTTATAATTTTATTAAATATTATAAGATTTTTTATACTTATTATACCAGATAATATAATTATTAAAAAGTTAAAATAGAGAATCCTGAGATTATAAAAGACTGGTTTAATCAGATCTAGAAAATTATATAAAAGTATAAGATTTTATCAGATAATATTTATAATTTTAATAAAATAGGGTTTATTATAAATATTATTATTATAATTAAAATAATAATTAATTTCTAGAAAGCAGACCAGCCGTCTCTAGTTTAACCAGAAAATTAGGAATAGATTACTTTAATTAAGTATATTTAATTTACTAAAATAGTTTTATTCTTGACTCTGATCTTTAAAGATAAAATATATTTTAAAATTTAATATAAAAATTAATCTATTCTCTCTATCTAGAGAATTGAAGTTAATAATAATAATTAAATTACTGATATAATTAATCTTTAATAATTTTAAAAATATTTTATTCTGTGGATCAGAGATAAATCAGTAAATAAATATAATCTTCTAGTATTTAACAGCTATAACAGTTATTTAACTTCTAAATTTAATTAAATCTATACTAAGAATAATATTATTTTTATTTATATACCTGTATATTTATTTTATCTACTTTAATCTCTAGATATTAATTGTTTTAATATACTTAAATATATATATAAAAATATAATTTAAAAGTAAGCATAATACAGCTATAATTATATTAATAAACTTAACTTCTTAGAGATTTATTTTAAAGTATATTAATAATTTTTAATAAAATTAAATATTATCAGTAAATTTAAAACAACAGGTCTTGTTTCTCTGAATCCTGAATAAATATTTTTTTAATTTAATATTTATTTTAAAATATTATTTACTCTAGATAGTCAGTCAAGTAGTTCAATATTTTAAATATTATATAATATAAAATATCTTTTAAAGTATTAAAATACAATAAAATAATTACTTTAAAAGTAGTAAATAAATCTAACTTTATCTATTTATTTTATACTATATTAACTCTTTAAAGAGTATAAGCTAATAATAATAAACTTAATTATACTAGCCAAGAAGAATAAGAAATTATATACTAACTATATAAAATAAATATAAAAAAGAAAGTATTCAAGAAAATAAATAATTTATATAAAAGATATTATTATTAAGAAGGCTCAGGGTGTAATCTAATAAAAATAAAAAATATAAAATAATAAAATTATAAAAATTAAATCTTAATTTTTATTTACAGAGATCTCCTCGCGCGCGTCTTTATACTACAGTAATTACTTTATTATTAGTTACTGATATATACAGTGTTCAAAACTATTTAATTTTTAATTATATAACATTTTTATAAGCGTTTGTGTTGAATTAAAGACTTTATTTTAAAGATATTAAGCTGTTCGGGTAGAGAGATGGGCTATCTAACTGTAGTGGGCCACCTACCTGTGGATTACGTTATCTGGTTGCCCACTTAAACTTTATCCCACCTTACATGGCCACTAACTATCGATGGACAATCCGATTCTTGTCATCGCTTTACCCCCTCCCCAGATTTCATCCAGTATGGAAGGTCAGGGGTCTAGAACCCCTGCGGAAATTCTAAGCATGTCCGACCGTGTCGTCGGTCTGCAATGTAATTCTACCGGATGCTAAAGCTCAAGCTCAAGCTCTAGCTCCCACAGCTCTTGTCCGTGCACCTTCAGCCTTAGTCCAAATTTCTGGTGAATAACTGATCCCTCGTTGCAATTGAGATTGGTCTCATCCGCAATGTGATGGGGGTATGGGGGGTGGTTGAAACTGTCCGCATCTGGAGGTCTCCGGCCCGCTGCCTCTTCATCGCTCGGAGGCTGCCGATGCGGGGACTCATTGAAGCAGCATATATCCAACTACCCCCCCCACTTTAACTATCACCGTTGCTTTTTCAAACGGAAATTGATCAAGTTACTTTTACTGGAAATTGTCAGCTTCAGCTCATAGTCCTTGTCAATTAATATCCTCCTCTCCCCACCATCATGTCCTCCGATCTCCCCGCGCCGTCGTCCATTACATCACTCCCGCAGGAGCAGCAATTCCGCGTCCTGGATACCCTGTTCGAGTCGTCGCCGGAGCTGCACACCCTCATGGCTCCCGTTCTCGCAAACCAGACATTCTCATCCTATTCCACTCTGATTGATGCGGTTGGCGGTCGCATGTCTGCCCTGTCTGCTGCCAACTCGTCGAAAGATCGCGATATCCTGGTGGGAATTCTGGGATCGCATCCCCGCCTGGGACAGCCCAAGGGAGCCCCGACGGAGCACTTGAGTGAACTGAGCAAGAAGGAACAAGCAAACTTGAACACGGGAGCAGAGGAACAAGCGGAGAAGCTGAAGCGTATGAATGCGGAATATGAGGAGAAGTTCCCTGGCTTGCGATTTGTGTACGTTCTCAATCACCCAATGATTTGTGTTGGTCTGACATATCTCCGTGGCATAGTACTTTTGTCAACGGTCGCAACAGGGATGTCATCATGGAGGAGATGCGTGAGAGAATCGACCGGGGTGACGCCGATCGCGAAGTGGAGGAGATCATACAGGTGAGATGGCTGTCCACCCAGCCACGGAACAGTGCTGACAATGGGCTCTTTACAGGCAATGTGCGATATCGCAAAGGATCGGGCACGGAAACTGGAACAGTCTGCTAAGATATAGTTTCCATCATGCAAGCATATTAAATATCAACATTGAATACCCTTGGACTTCAGCAGACCCTGATATGTCTCCTTGCCAAAGCCGCTGCTTCGCAACGTACAGTTCAATCTAAGCAATTCTCAGCGGAGCTCTCTGTCTCCTATGGGAGACAATGGCGGTAATCTGCATGGCAATTGGTGATTCCGTTAGTATAAAGGTGGCTGACTAGTGCCGGCGACTTATGGGAAGTCGGTCTTGTCTTACAGCGGGATGATCTTCCGTCCTCAGGATGCGTACTACCAGCACTTCTTTAGTAGTACACAGACTGGATTTGATCTATTGTTGTTGAAGGAGTACTTTTTTATGGGATCCCTTAACATTCTGCAAGCTAGCTTGTGAGACAACCCGGGAGGTCAGTCATCGGTAGGCCAATGATATCGGAGGGGGAGAGGTTGTACATCGCCATTGTTGGACAGCCATGCAACGTCGGACAGTAGCTTTCCTTGAGAGGGGATTCTATGGGGAAATGGGAAGGATAGGGGTAGCTATGGCTGTACTGACTGCTCTTATAGTACCTGAGCAAACTAGCAGTATATATAAACCATGTTCTAGTCTATCTATGATCCCAAATCATCTTTCATTACCTCCACCCATTAGCAAACATGCATGGACTGCGCCTAGTCTGCAGCATAGCAGCATTGTCTTTGGCCATCCTGGCATATCCTACGGCCTCAACTCCAGCACCCATGGATTTGAACTCCCTCCGTTTGACCTCTAACACGGAATATGTTAACTCAGTCGATGTGAACGCAAACCGATCAGTGGTAGTATCCGCTGAAGAACACTATACCAATACAGCAGCTCGACTAGTTCAGAACGTTGTTCCTGGAGCAAGCTTCCGTCTTGTCGATGACCACTATGTTGGCAACAATGGCGTTGCGCATGTATACTTTCGCCAAACGGCTCATGATACTGACATTGACAATGCGGACTTTAATGTTAATGTATGTTCCCCGCTAACTCTGGTAAAGAAAAGCTCACTGTTACAGATTGGAAGAGACGGACAGCTTTTATCTTTCGGGCATTCATTCTTCACTGGCGTATTGCCGAGCAGCTACCTGGACAACCCCAACCTGTCAAGTCCCGTAGCTGCTCTTAGAGGAGCAAGGGACGCGTTACAGCTCCCACTCACTATTGACAAGGTTTCTACAGAAGCTGTTAATGGACTAAACGAGTACATCTTCAGACAGGCAGCGGGTGCAGTATCTGACCCCAAAGCCAAACTAGTCTACCTCGTCAAGCCAGATGGGACCCTGGCGCTCACATGGCGGGTGGAAACAGACATGTACGAGCACTGGCTACTGACCTACATTGATGCAGAAACCACCACTGTCCATGGCGTAGTCGACTACGTAGCAGACGCGACATATCAAGCCTAGTAAGTGACCCTACCAACTTAACAACGACGCTAATACAGCAGTCCCTGGGGCACAAACGATCCAACAGAAGGACATCGCACCATCCTCACCAACCCGTGGGACCTATCCGCATCCGAATACACCTGGATCAGCGACGGACAAAACAACTACACCACAACCAGAGGCAACAACGCCATCGCGCACTGGAACCCAACCGGCGGTGGCTCCTATCTCTACAATCTACGCCCATCCAACCCAGACTTGAATTTCCAATATCCCTACTCCCCAAACATGTCCCCACCTCGATCATACATCAACGCCTCCATCGTCCAACTCTTCTACACAGCAAACACCTACCACGACCTCCTCTACACACTAGGCTTCACCGAATCCGCCGGCAACTTCCAATGGAACAACAGCGCCCGCGGCGGCCGCGACAAAGACTACGTGATCCTCAACGCACAAGACGGCTCCGGATATAGCAACGCAAACTTTGCCACTCCACCCGACGGTATCCCCGGTCGTATGCGCATGTACATCTGGATCGAATCCACCCCGTCCCGTGATGGAAGTTTCGACGCGGGCATCGTAATCCACGAATACACTCACGGTGGTAGGCCCCCCTCTCCCATTACCAATTAAACAACTCAGTCTTCTAAAACCTCTCAGTATCGAACCGCCTCACCGGCGGCTCCCACAACGCCGGATGTCTCAATACCCTCGAGTCGGGCGGTATGGGCGAAGGCTGGGGCGACTTTATGGCCACTGCCATCCGAATCAAACCCAACGATACGCGCAGGAAGTCCTACACAATGGGTGCCTGGGCAGACAATGATAAACGCGGTGTCCGCGACTACCCTTACTCTACTTCCTTCGCTCAGAACCCTCTGAACTACACGAGCGTGAATACCATGAATGGTGTGCACGCTATCGGAACCGTCTGGGCGACTATGCTGTATGAGGTGATGTGGAATCTCATTGATAAGTACGGGAAGAATGATGGTCCCAGACCGGTGTTCAGAGATGGAGTGCCGACAGACGGGAAGTACTTGATGATGAAGTTGGTGGTGGATGGGATGGCGCTGTAAGTGATCCGCAGAATAGCTTTTTTCCCCCTTTCACCTTCGGAGTGTCCGTCGGACCTTGACTGATAATTAAATGAAGACAGCCATGTAATCCGAACTTCGTGCAAGCGAGAGATGCGATCCTTGATGCAGATATTGTCTTGACTGGGGGTAAGAATCGATGTGAGATATGGAGGGGGTTTGCGAAAAGAGGATTAGGACAGGGAGCGGGGTATAGTGGTAGTGGCTTAAGTCGGATGCGAAGGGGGGGTACACTTCTTCCTAGGGGATGTTAGTTGTAGCGTAGCAGATGAGTGGAGATATCTGGTTTATTAGAAGAGGAATAATCAAGTAGTACTAATACAGCATCGGCAGATCTAAACATGAAATACATCTATATAACAGCCATCACCCTCTAGTCTACCGGCATACCATACCACACCAACAACTTAACCACACAACATCCCATCTATCATCTACCACCCCCAGTACATAAGAATTCAAACAACAACCCATAATTCCAACCTCTGCTTCCCCCTCGCCACACCCAACAACACCCCACCCACCAACAGACTCACCCCAGCGTATATCGACAGCGCAAGAAACCCATACTTTTGCACCAATGCCCCGGAGATAGGTATTCCAGCCATAGCACTATATCCATTCCAGACATAGTCAGCAAACTATCACCATCATAACAAACACAATTAATAAATGAAATAGATCATACCTCAAAGCCGTAGCCCCCATAACAACCCCCACCGCCAACCCGACCGTCTTCGGCGTAGCAAGCTGCAACGCACATGCTTGTTGGAGGGAAAGGATAGCCTGTCCATACCATTATTAGTTTTCATCCACCCCTCGGGAATAGAAAAGAAAAGAAGGGGAAAGGGGATACACTCACCCCCGAAGCAAACCCATACGCCACCGCAAACACCACCAACCCCGCCACACTCGTGGCCTTCGTCCAACAGAGACAAACCACCCCGGAGAGGATCGTAAACACAATACAGACATTAAACCGTCCGTACTTGTCAGCTAATATACCCCCGATGATCCTCCCGAACAGTGACGCGCCATTCAGCATTGAGATCGTATAGAATGACAACGAGGAGGAAAAGCCCTTTGCTACGCCGTAGCTGGAGACGTAGAAGAAGGGCGAGAACATCCCGAAGTAGATGATGAAGAAGGAGAGGCAGGTTAGGTGGAGGGTTGGGTTTTTGAGGAGGGAAGGCTCTGGTTCTTTATGTGGTTGGGGTGCAGGGGAGGGTTTCTCTGATTCTGGCTCTGGGTGCGCCTGCGATGGTGGTGCAGGAGGTGCAGCAGGTCTACAACAGAAGCAAGTCACTGTGAGTAGCGGCAACATGATGAATCCCACGATGCGCATGGTCCACCCGAACCCAATGTTCGGTTTCTTGAGCAGTTCATTGACGATGATCGGCCAGAGGACGCCACCGAGGGAGGATCCCCCGATCACAATGCCGACTGCTGCGCCGCGCTTGATCTTGATGTGTTGGCCGACGAGGGCGATCATGGGGCAGGTGAGTAGGGATAGGGAGATGCCGAGGAGGATGCCTTGCGCGAGGATGAATTGGTAGAGCTGTTTGCAGAGGGAGGTCATCATTATGGAGAAGATGGTGCCGAGGGAGCCGATGCAGAGGAGGAGCTGGGAGGTTTATTAGTTGTGTGGTAAGTATAGTACGGTATGGGGTAAATACGCACCCGTGGACCGAGAGTGTCGAGTAGAGGCCCCGATACGACTGATACGCCGAAGATGAAAAAGATGTCGATCGACGCTATCCATGCGATTGTTGATTCGGGTTGGTTGGAGAGTTGGTCTTTCTTGTAGTACTCTAGGAAGAGGCCGAAGGAGTTTACGAAGCCGACGGTGCAGAACATGCCGCAGAATGAGCCGAGGAGGGTCATTATTGCGAGGGGTCTGGGGTGGTTAGTGATATGTTTTTTGTTGGGGGTATGGGGGACGTACGTGTATTCGGAGGTTGGTTTGGTGGAGGGAGCATCGTTAGGGTGAGCCATGGTTGCTAGTTAGGCTTGACAAGTTGAAGCTGAAGATAGTGAGTGTCCAGTGCGGCTCAATGTTATTTTGGGTTGATGGAACATGTTTGAAGCAGAGCCTCTGAGCGCATATATATTATTTGCATACAGTGACAAGTGATACATATCAAAGTTGTAACCCCCGGAGTCTCCGGGGACATGGTTCATGGTGTTGTGATAGTATGTATGAAGCTTGATGGAGGCTCGGACTGTCCGCGGAGCTTCCGGGCGGCGGCGGTTAACCATTAAGACCATCAATTCCACACTGCAGAAAACAACCGACAACAATTCTTTCAGCATCACGGAACATTGCTCTCTACAACATTGTAGTGCAGAAGGGAAATGACTGGTTGCTAGAACGGAGACTGATACTCACGTGATTCGGTCAATTAATCGCCTCCGGTCAAGTCATCAACTCGGTATCTCATCTCATCTCATCATGAAGCGCAAGGCTGCATTACAACTGCCGCATACCTCCAGACGCGCTCCCAGACAGGACCCCGTATCTTGCGACTCTTGTCGACACAAGAAAATCAAATGCGATCGTCAGCAGCCATGCGGCAGTTGCTCCGCGCGCCGGTTGGCGTGCATTTATGGGAGACCAGAGGCCGCAAGGGTTCCGAACCCATCACCGGCTGGCGCAATGCGGACACCCCCTACGAGTAGCTCAAGTGTGCCCCCGAGAGCCGAAAATGTTTCTACCGGACCTACTGAAGCTCCATTGCGGCCAAGCAATCGGGAGTCGCTACTCACAGCGGACTGGCTGGAGAACATCCACATGGCTGACCGGGTGCCAACAGCAACCCCGAAATGGTTTCGAGATGAACTAGATGATTCGGTAAGAGGGCGCAACTTAAGCGTGAACCAGGAGACAGGGCCTGCAAGACCACTACTGTCAATGCCATACATGAATCGGTCTGCCATCAACGAGAATCCGGCGTCGGTTAACTTGATTGACTTTGTCCCCGCAAAATCGGAGGCTTTGGATCTCTTTCGATATTATCATCGTTACGTCGACTATCTCTACCATATCCTTGTCCCCAAGTGCGTGGAGGACCAAATAGATGGCATCTATTGTTGCATCGAAAGTGGCAAGCCCGTAGACCTCAGCCATTTGGCGCTTCTTTTCGGCATCCTAGCCAGCTCTCTATGTCTGCAGCAAACTGTGGTGGCATCTTCCGATGTAGGAGATCGAAGCCGAGAGTTTGCCTTCCTTACTGGTGCCGCGTTGATCCAGAGCCATTACTCCCTGTCTCCGACGCTCGTGGGCTTGCAGGCCACCATGGTGGTCATGCATAATGTCTCCAACTGGAACATTCCACCGTCTGTGAGCGGTCTCTTTGTGCACGGTGCTATCGTCAGCCAAGCAAAGAGTCTTATGCTCCATTGCATTGACTCTCCGCGGTTTCGGAATGAGAGGGAGGGATCTGATTACAATCCAGTAGATCTGGAACTCAAGAGACGGATTTGGTGGGATCTGACGTCTTTCGACTGGTAAAAACTATTGAAAACTCTTTGAATGCCAAGTGCTCACTAAAGTTGCAGGCTACTGGGCTTCCTCCCTGGCCCTCAAGAGTGGACGTATCTCATCCAGCCGCGCCACATGAACGTCAACCAACCCTTAAATATAGATGACAGTGCAATGCTTCGCGAAATGGTATCACTGCCAAGTTCCACACCAACAGACATGTCCTTCTTCCTTCAACGTCTGAAACTAGCGTCTGTTAGCCGAGAGGTAGTTGATGCAACATCCTACGAGCACCTGCATGGCTTGGAGCCACAATACGAAAAAGTCCTCGAGCTAGACCGAAAGTTCCATCAAGCTGTGGCTGAAATACCTGATTTCTTCCGGCTGGATCCATCATCTAGACGGCGGTTTGCTTCGCTTTACGAAGAGCGCCCGACCATTGCCTGGCAAGGCTGTCTCCTGCAACAGGGTTTCTTCTCGCGTTTGTGCCGCCTACATCGTGACTTCTTCATCAGAGGAGCTCGTGAACCGGCATACTCCTACTCTCATGTTATTTGTCTACAGTCTGCCCGAAAGGTACTGGAGATCAAGAGGATTATGGATGGAAACGAACCGAACTATACTCCGCCAAACTCTGTCGTCTGGTCAGTCATGCATCATGTATTCGCTGCCGCCGTGATACTATTGCTGGACGTGTGCTTCAACTGGGACGATATACTCGCTGAGAAACGAAAGGAAGAAGTGCTAGAGGCCTGCCGCATGCTGAGCAAGGCACAAGAGTCGTCTGCCCTAGTCAGAGAAGGAATCAATGCAATGATGGGCGTTTTGCAAAAGCATTGGAGGACCGGAAAGCTGCAGCGGAGTGACGAGATCCCCCCTGTTGTTCCACATGGGAATGACGCAGTGCGTTCTCATCCGGGTCATACACAGGCTTACGCCCAACCTCTCAGTACTGAATTAAGCAATGTCCCTTCAAATCCCCCAAATGCTAGCACCGATGATGTTCCCCAAGAGAGGCATTTAGAGGACATCTGGACCGAGATGCTTGAGACAGGCAACGACCTAGCTCTGGACACTGCAGACTGGACGGAACTGTTGAACGAACTGACAGACCCAGAGTTATCTCGGGGATGATTTGTCCAAATCCAGGCAGCCCCAGTAATACTCTAGAGTATATCCAGTCTTATCACTTTGTTCCAGCATGCAAGTAAGGCCTGCATTTACACAATGCTACGCCATCATTAAGAGATACAAGCGTGCAGACCTCTACTTGAAGCCCTTGCCATCTCAATTGTATATAGACGCCTGGCTAAATCTTCGCAAATACCTGCCGTGGATCCCGTTTCCTCCCACCCCCATGGCCTACTGAACACCGCGAAAATTGATTCCGAAAGGTTTATTCTGACATGGCTCTTCCATTATCCGTCACGAGTTATTCCTTTCATTTCAGCCAGATCATCCGTCTCTTGTCTGACCCCATCGGAAAGCGACAATACCTCTTTCCTCCGTGGACCATAGAGGTAAACCTCTATCGTCTCTGCCAGAGTCTATACCCCCTAACAGTTCTGAACATAGACCTGCGACCTGCGACCTGTTCGGCAAATCCTTGTTCTACAGCTGCTCACTCCTGAAGTAGTCCGATACCTTCTCGCACCTGTCCTCGGACAAATAGCCCACAAGCCGCAAGGCAGCTGTTGTTGCCGCCCACTTGGCGATATCATCGACGCATTGCTTCAGCGCCGCCGTTTGGGGAGAATCGCTGCACAGATTGTCATCGCCGAGGCGATCACCACATTTGCTGTTGACATTCGGGAAGACGTCGTTCAGGTGGCTTGCCCTGGCTGGGGTTCTCCAACTGTCAGCGGTTTTGAAAGACCAGAGTTTCGCCAAAATGACCTACGATGACTGGAATACCTGCCTTGCCACAAAGGTTCAGGGAACTTGGAATCTTCACCACGCGGCCTCTGGCCAGCCGCTCGATTTCTTCGTCGTTTTCAGTTCGATCGCCGGCATCTGTGGCAACCACGGCCAGGCAAACTACGCCGCCGCCAATACATTACTCGACAGCTTTACGCGCTACCGCCGTCGCCTGGGTCTCCCATCGGCTACCCTTGCCCTTGGAGCAGTAGAAGACTGTGGTATCGTCAGCCGTGATGCAAAACTGCTGCAAGCAATGCAAGCAGCTTCCGTACGACTTGTCAGAGAGGACGAGCTCCTGGAAGGTCTAGAGCTGGCAATCCGCCAGTGCAATTCTCCACCAATCTCTGTCAATCAAGGTATAACATCAGACGCTTGTATCATCGGCCTCGGAAATACCCGTCCAACCAGCGATCCTACAGTCCGGACAGCGTGGGTGCCTTCCGACTCACGATTCTCCGTCTACGCCAACATCGAGATGAAGGAAGGACAGAGCGCAACAGCCGGCGGTGCAGCAATCAAAGAGCTCCTGCGGAGGGTCGACCAGAACCTGGCCATGCTGATTGAGCCCGAGGTGAAAAACAATTTGACAATTACGAATTGAGCAAGCACCTGGCACGACATATGCCGCGAGCCGCTGAGATGTCCGCGGAGGAGATTGTAGAGATGCCTATTGACTCGCTTATGGCGGTGGAGATTCAGCGCGGGTTGCGAGGCGATCTCAATTGGGATATTCGTATGGTGGAGATTGCGAAGATTGGGAAGGTTGGAAGGTTTGCGGAAGCCGCTGTTCAGCATCTGAAGGAGAAGTATGGACTTGTGAAGGAAGGGAAGTAGAGAGTATGGCGTGCTTTCCCTTTGATAATAGGTTTAATGTACTGGAATGCTAAACGTGAGAGTTACATCAAACTAGTACTTCTGTATCAATCATCCATCCTCATTACAAACATGCCACTCACAACACCAATCCCAACTGACCATTCATTCCACGGTCACTCTAATACTGTCTGTTGTGTCTGAGCCCATGCGCCGTTAGCTCCTATCACCCAGCCCAGAAACAATCAATGGGTCAAACATACAAAATGCCACATGGTTCTTGATATTGCTTGCAGCATCATAGGGTTTGGGGTAATACCACGCTGCACCGGGGATTGTCGTGGCTAGATATCAATCTGTTAGCAACGATACGATCATTCTGTCTCCGTAGGGGGGCAGTTTAAACAAACGAAGAGATGGGGTGGGGAGATCCTCACGCCCAATCACAAGAGAGTAATACGATGCATCTCCTTTCCACGGACAATATGTCACCTTGTCGATCGGGACGAAGAGTGATTTATCTTTGATAGCTGTGGGTGGGAACTGGATAATGTGTTAAGTCGGTTTGGGTATCTAGGCTATGTGGTTTGGGGGGCTTACGTAGATGTTCCCTTCGACGGTCTCCCAGGTGGGGGATTCGGCGAGGACGATGTCGTTGTAAGTTGCTCTAGCGAGGGGCATGGTTATGGGGGAGGGGAAGATGAGTTGCACTAGTGCTTGTGTATTGAAGAAACAAGTAGAGAGAGTGAGCAAAGGAGAAGGAGAAATATTTACTAGTTGTTGCTGATGTGATACAGTTGCATTAATAATCCTGTCATGGCGTAAGTGCGGGGAAATTCCCCGAGTGCATTAAACCTAAACGGAGACCATTCCCATGTATGGCACAGCGAAAGACGCCTTCTAAGAACACACTATACTGTCTTCATCCTTCACATGACTCGCATCAAACCCTTCGATCTTCGTTCACGGCTTTGTATCAGCCCTGCATCCCACCCAGTCTGGACTAGGCCAGGACACTCGCTCGAAGTTGAACTGCGGCAGATGCAAACACGTACCCTCGCATTTGTTGAACTCTTGTACCTGATTCCCATCACAGTCGATCCCTAGTGTCCGTCGCATCCCATCTTCGCAGGCTTGTAGGGTTCTCCATGTCCCCTCACACCACGCACAGTATAAAGTCTCAGGTTTGGGAGGGTTGAACACCAGCGATTTCATCTTCTGATGAATACGATTTAGCGACATTTTGTACGCGCTTGGGTTTTCTAAGGCCGTAAAGATAGATAGCCAAGGATCCAATGATTGATGCTCACAGAGAGTCCAGAGACCCTTCTGCTCGTTTTCAGGCTTGAAACCTAGGTATTCCCGGATAATTTCCGCAAAGCTCTGATACAGCTCCGATCGAGCCTGGTAAATAGCTTCATACATATCCCTGGGCAGAAGTCCGTCTTTTGGCTTGGACTTGAACGTGTAATCCATAATCACACCACGCGTAGCATATCGGAAATCCCGTCCGGATCCAGACTGAAATACCCAAGTAATGAACAACACCCAGTCCAGTAGCTCTTTGTGTGAGGGCACATATCTTTTTGGTTTCACACAGGTGCTTCCCAGCCAGGCAGCCGAAAAGGGCTTCATAGCATCTCGTAGCTCGAATCTATTCACAATAACAGCGATGTCCTTGAGAAACACAAGCTCAACAGGTTTTTGCCAATCGACCCATCCCCTGGTCAGGGTTTGCAGAACCCAGAGCATAGCTGCGGGATTGGGCCAATCGTATGACAGATCTTTCACCCAGACAAGCTCATCCTCGTCCCAGCGAGCCTGGTTGTTAGGCTGTGCATCGCCGGTTTCTTGATAGCCGAAGATTTCGGCGAAGACCCTGGATGAAAGGGCTAGTGGCTTCACGGGGACGCGAATTAGGGTATGTGGACAGTAAGTTGTGATTTTAATCAACACATGTAGTTTCGCCGTTGGATCTTTTGGGTACGGTTGGTTTGATGGGCGTAGATCATGCATAATTCCCTGCTTCGTCTCGCACCCTTCCACATAGTCGGCCAATCCTAGATAGTCGCATCCAGGGAAAGCGTCGTCGTCGTCGTCGTCGTCGTCTTCATCGTCGTCTTCAGAATCATCCCCAGATTCACTCTCATCGTCATCGTCTGACATATCCATTTTCGAGCAGATGCAACTGACAGGTTCATCCTGGTCGTCGGTTGAGATGTCCTCCATGTCTCCATCATCAGACTCAGCTGATCCAGAATCATCGATTTCGGTATCCTCGTAGACCAGATCTTCCATGCTATTATCCTCATGATGACGAGACGATGATAGAGGTGCGTCATTTTCATACAGATGATCGAAGATGTCTTCGATGCGATCAACACTGGATTTTTTGATGGGCGCGTTTTCGGGATCGTAGTCTTCTTCTTCATCTTCTTCAGCTTCTGTCCGTTCTTCATCATCCCCCCAGTCGCTATCGACACCTTGCTCACTATCACCATCCGCAAGGTCCATATCCTCCTCACTGTACTCGCTATCATCCCCACTCTCGGACACCTCATAGTCATCATCGATGTCCAAGTCCTCCATGACTTCGTTCAGATCAACCTCGGTAGCCACATCGGTAGCCACATCGGTAGCATCGTCGTCGATGGTGCCTTCATCCTCTGCTGGAGGGGGTATATTCTCCTTGAAATCAGCGGGGTTGGAGGTAGGGATGAAGCCACAGGCGGCAGAATTTGGCACCAACCCATCAACCATATCCATATCACTATCACTAAGCATGTTGAAGTCCTCCATCTGAGCGATTGGCTCTTCGATGTGGTGCATCTTGAATAGACAATCGACAAATGGCTTTTTTCCTCAAATTTTGCGTGTTGACAAATGACGTTTATATAGTGATGCTGGCAGTGACTGGTGATGGAACTAGGGCTGGCAGTTGATACATCCCCCTGTTCAAGAGGTACATGTACATTTATATATCTTTCGTCCAGGGGAACATGATTCGGAGACATCCATGTTGGTTTGCTACTCTATAGTACTGCTAGTGCATGGCATGGGGTTTGCCTTCTCTGGCTGTGTGCGTTACAAAGGCCAGGTAGAATACGGGGGTGAGAGATGAAACGTGTTGACCAAGACTGGGTTACTGAAGAGGTGTTGAGTATTTATGTGATTTGCGGATGGCTTTGAGGGATTGTGGTTGGTGCGGCGTTTCCCTTGCGAGAAACGGTAGTCATTCGATGTAATGCACGGTCTGCAGTAGGATCTTCCATTGCATGTATAGTGTGGCTTTGTCACTGCTTTACAATGACTTTATCATTATAAATTTTTTCTTGCGTGAGTGGGCGGCCATTCGCGGTTTCTCTTCTTTGTGGAAAGCAAAGGTCTTTGTCACAAGTGAAGTTTATTGTTTAGCTTGCTGTACTTCTTTATGTCATAGGGATTGGCAGGCGATTTGACAGTCATCATAATCCTACATCTAAGAAACTAAGGACTGATTCTCCCGGGTCGTACCCTCGGACCATTTGCATAACTAGATGGCGTATCTACTTGGCTGTGACTTCGTCTATTGTTCCCTCCATTGCACGGCATCTTCAATTATACTATTGGCTCAGTTGCCGGACTGATCTACCTCTGAAGACAGTATCTCTCTCAAGCGTGATCACCGCCATTATCAACTCGCCGATCCGAGACTTCGCCAACCCCAATTACAAGGGAGTTCCGAGTCAACAACATGGAGCTCCTCGGAAGTCAAGCCAATGTACAACCAAGCCTCCTAAATAAACCATTACGGTTGATGCCCGATCTAGGCTACTGATATTCACTCCAAATTTCAAAGGGATGGACAAACCGGCCCGCAGACCTGAAAGGATGGTTTGAACCTGGATCCGGAGAGACGTGCCTTGCCAGATGCTATGGCCTCAAGTATGTCCCCTGTCCTGGTAACAACCCTGGAGACCGGAGAGCCTCTCCACATTATCCCCTCTAACAACGTATATTACATTGGGAATATCATGGACGAGGATAATCACCAAATCACCAACCCAACAACATGGCCAGATATTTTAAATTCGCTCAACAGAATGGTACAAGAGGTCTGGAATCGAAGAAGCTTGGGCTTGTTAATGTGCCAAAGGACGAACAACCCCGGGATGACGAAGTGACTGAGGGCCGGAGATAATTTTTTCCCGCTTGAAATATATCTCAGACATGGTCACTGATTATTAGAGCGGATCGTCAGGTTCAGTTTACTGAAAGAACTGATGGTCAGGCTTGATTCGGTAAAATGGCTGCTTCATCAAGATCTCACTACTACCTCAACAATACCGTTGATATCTAATGTGTTTCCTTTGTACCTTGTAGGTTTACAATGGCTTTGGTATATAGAATTTATTCACTCTTTGTCGTATGGGCAAGGATGAGTATATCCGCTTAATGTGAGTTGTTTGGCCTTCACTATACATGAATCTTGCTTTGTTGACTTTTGCTTGCTTCTTTCTTTATTGTCTCGTGATATCTGGACTCACTGCCAATCATCCAAGGCCATTGTTCTGGGAGAGCCATTCCACATACGACCCAAAAAGTACTATCTCAATGCAATATCATATTTCATATCTACAGCCGAAATCAAAGGTATTCACAACATCCAAAAATGGTGTCCAACATCTACCCCCGCTTTATGACCTCCTCCGCCGTCTCCACCAAAATCTCAAACGCCCTCCTAACATACTTCTCCTCGGCCGCCGGGTTCGTACTCACAACCCGAATAGCATAAACCTTACAGATAACGGTCGAAGTAATGAAGATCTCTCCTCGAGAGTTGACTAATTCATATACCTCCTTGGTCAACTCGTTCGCAGCCCCATCCGGCTGCGCAACAAGAACGCCATTCTCAGCTTCCACCATCGTCGTCCCCGACTTGGGGCTCTTAATTCGGAACACAGTCAACCCGAATGCAGGAGTGGTGATGATCTCAAACAGATCAGCCCGACTGCGGACCAGACCCGCAAAAGTCTCTCCCAGTCCTATGGACTTGCGGATATAGTCCTTCATGCCGGTGAGACCGTAGCTGCGCATGACAAACCAGATCTTCAGGGCACGGAACCGACGGCCCAGAGACATGCTCCAGTTACGGTAGTCGATCACCTTTCCGGAGTCGGAGTAGTGATTGCGCAGGTAGGCAGGGGTGATGTCCAGGGCGTTGGTGAGGTCTTCGCGGTTGCGAATGAAGAGGCAACTGTTCCGGTTAGCAACTTATAGCATCGTAAAGGAATGGAGAAAGCACAAACCTAGCATCAAAGTTAACCAATAACCACTTGTGCATATTAATATTGAAGCTGTCGACTCCCTCGGCAAACTCCTTGGAAAGATACTGCCACTCATCCGCGACCAGTGCCGCACCGGCATAAGCAGCATCAATATGGACCCAAATCCTCTTCCAATGCTCCTTCTCGGCCAATACAGCCTTAATCTCCCTGAACCGATCAACGGCACACGAATTCGTCGTACCAAGTCCCAAGGTAATGAAATAAGGCGTCAGGTTATTCCGATCCAACCCCTCCAAAACATCCCTCAACCTCTCCCCAGTCATCTCCAAGTTATCCTCCAACCTCGCCTCGACACTCCTAAACCTCGTTCCCGCCAACAACGCTCCCTTCGCCGTACCGCTATGCGCCTGGTTACTCGCCAGCGCGACCAACCGACTCCTCAACTCCATCATCCGATCCTCATACTCCACCGTATCAGGCTTGAACCCCTCACTGACCACAATCTCAGTCACGCGCCTTTCCCTTGCAGCAATCATCATCGTCGCGACCGTGTCACTCGCCGTAACCTGGATTACACCTCCTCCGCGGTTCTCCGACGTGCTGAGGAAACACTCCGGCAATGCGAGCGCCTGAGCGAGCCAGTCCATTACGATGGTTTCGAGTTCGGTGCACGCCGGGGAACAGAGCCAGTTGAATGCGGGGGCTGTGAAGGCTGCGCTGTACATTTCACCCAGGATACTGGGGTAGGTGACGCCTGAGGGGAAGAAGGCCATGAAGTTTGGGGACTGCCAGTGCGTGATGCCCGGCTTAATCTTGGTTTCAATGTCCGATTGGATGGAGCTCCATGGTTCGGGGTTCTCGGGGGGTGAGGTCGGGATTAAGGGGCGGAGGTAGCCTGGTTCGATGGTGGGGAGGACGCGCTGGTTCGGGAGGTCATCGAAGTAGTTGATTACTGTTATTTTTGGGGGTGGTTAGCTGTGTCTCTCTCTCCGTGTGTGTGTGTGTGTGTGTGTGTGTGTGTGTGTTTGTGGTGATGCGGGCGGGGATTGGAGAAGTGTGGGGTGCAGGGATTAGGCACAGAGACTAACTGTCATCAATGGCCGAGTGGGCGGCCTCCCGGAATTGTTCGCGATCCATTGGACAGAGATGAGAATTCCAGGCGTGATCCAAGGGGGAATTGAGGAAGTCGAATGGGAGAACTGAATGAAATTCAGCGGAGAGTTCGGAGGCAGGAATAAGGATCTGGATTTCTTTTATCGATAAGCCAAGGCCGGTGGGGTTGGCGCCGGAATTGGTTCCGAAGGTGTTCCGACATGTCAAGGGAAGGGCGTCTGATCTACGCTTTTGGTCCAATTGGAAGCTACACATGAATCCTGATAATGCGCCAGGAATGAGTTAATATATTCAGGTTCCCCTAAATTGCCCCTCGTGCATCATGTGCGTTTGACAAGCGCGCTATTGGGGGTGTTGACGGATATTTCGCGGGTAACGGCGGTATTTGTCGGATATTGCTTCTTTCCGAGTGAGTATGCATTTGGGCAATTTATTCGGGGTTTCGATATGGGATAAGATTTCGTGTTCACTTGAATAATGAGAGTATTCTGGAGATGGAATTTTGCTAGGTAGTGAGTGGGTGTTGACTATGGTGTGGTTGCTAATAAGGCTCCCAGGGTGTGCCTCGATTCCGACTTCCGAGCGAGCTCAAATTGCTCGGTTGCCCATTGTAGTGAAATTTGTTATCCAAATACACTAGCATATATCTCGTTAGCACACTGACTACTCGATGATTACTACTCGTGTATATTGATTTCAAGGAACTCGCTTTTATATAGAGCGTATGATGCATCCATTCAATGCCTTGGTATAGACGACTCAAATGTCAAGGAAATCATGAAATAAAGATAGATTATAGTATCTCATATCAATACCATAGATAAATCACATTAACCCTAACATGTTGAAAGTAATCTAGCCAATCATCTACCCCCTCAAGTCAATCACCAAATCTTCCCCATGGTCCAACGGAACAGAAGAACAACTACCCAAGCAAAATTAATAACATCATCAAGACGCATCTTCAGCTTCCCCCTCCACCTCCTCCGCAGCCTCCCCCTCCGCCGCCTCCACCACCACCTCCACCACCACCACCACAGCCTGTCCCACCTCCTCCTCCGCCACAAGCTGCGCCAGGAACATAGCCTCCTCCATAGTATCTTCCGCCTCGTCTCCTTGTTGTTCTTGATTGTCGGGACCAGGATGTTCCCTGACCGGGTCGAGAAGTGTTTGTGGGTCGAGGACGGTACGGGGAAGCGGGTTCGTCAGAGTATGAGGTAAAGCACATTGTCTTTAACTTTGCAAAAAATTGGGGGAGATAGTGGGTGGTATTTATGTTATGGTTGGGGTTGTTTATGTTGAGTGTGGAGTTTAATGTGTCGGAAGATGCCTTGTCTAACGCTGAAATGATATATATGTCTTAAGTTCTTTGTATAGAGTAAGAAGTGAAATGTCTTGTAGCACGATGAATTGAGTAGGGACAGATATCGTTATAAAACATTGTGTGTAGAGCCTCAGCCTTGTTTATGTTGCACGAGGCTGCTGATGGGCGTGGTCATGCGGATAACTCCGCCTCGTCTCGTGTTTGCGTGGCTCAGAGTGTATGATGTGGCTATGCTGACTGGCTGAGCGAGATACAAGGCTGCGGGTGAAGGCATGGGCGATGTGGTGATTTGCAGGGTTTCCGAGTTTATTTCATTGTTTGCTAAGAATCCTGGTGGTGAATAAATATAGTGGGAAGATGAAGGAGAATGCCTTGCTCAAAGTTATAATCTTGGTCGGCAGCAATAAGCCGATGTTTGGATGTCTCATGATGCGATGATATTTGCTGATAGGACCAAACATAACACGATGTTTACCGGGGAGTTCATAATCCGGTGAACCTTTTACTCACTAAATGTTAAACTTGTAGTCATTTTGGAAGACTGGTAATCTGAGGAATTAGTCATGCGTGTGGGGTCATAATCATAATGTTGCATCGTGATGACAGTTTGTTAGGCGTATGTAGATGACTTGATTCTTTTTGTATCGTGTAGTATAAACGTTGTGAAAAGATGTACTTGATGACATATGTGTCTTCCATTTTGGCAACAATCAGGAGAATAAAACGCGCCCAGCATCCCTGGTATAGAGGACGTATTTGAATATCAAGTATTGGGGGGGAGAATTGAAGAGGTGGCTTTTTATATGGCTTTCATTGGCGTTGATTCTATAGACGATATCAAAGGCCTCTATCCACTGACATATAATCGACTATCAAGGTCCGTTCGTCCAGAGTCCTGGTCGCATATAATCAAAGCGAACTCCAACATACATGTTGAATTCCTCAATCAAGTCGTCACATTCCTCTACTGCTATGTCAGGCTCATCATCGCTGATAAACAGACGGATAATCACTTCCTGCAATAGAGGCACCCGCCGATGACGGTCCGACAACCGAAGGAAATCCGCCAACAGTTTCTGGAGAACGCGCACTGTATGGGAGGTCGACCCGTCTTCCCTTCCCACATATTGAAAGTCCCACCGTAGGCCAAGCCTTTCCAGTGTTACTGGTAAACCTCGATTTATACAAGACACTTCTATCCTCTCGAATCCATTAAGCAGCTGGACCGGTAATTCGAGTGTTTTGAGCCGGGTAAAACCCTGAAAGAATCCAGGCATCATAGATCTGAATAAAGGACCCCATATGTCGATGTCACTGGTATTCTCCAGGACTAATGGTGTGCTAGAGAAGCTGATTGAGAGGTGCTCCAGACACCCATATAATGCTTCCAGTCCATTCAAAATGCATTCTCCATCAACGTAAGAGGGTGTAGACTGATGCCAAAATCTTTCCTCTTCGTTGTTCATACCAAGGTGAAGAGTTCGAAGGCTTTTCATTCCTTGTAAGATCTTGAAGAGCGCGCAGTCCATTCTTGAAACGTGGTCCAGGATAAGGGTTTCGAGTGCCGTATAGTCCATTTGAATACCTGGAACCCGCTCGAGCTGAAGACCATGATGGCTACGTAGCCAGACTTTGAGGTGCTTGATCTTTTGTAACCGAAATATTGGGATCACTTGTGATGAAAAACGACTCGGAACGTGTGTGTCATCAAGCATACATGGAAGACTTTTTTGTAGTGCGTTGGTTCCGTAATCGATTTCTTCGAGGTGGTCAAAGTTATTTCGCAACTCTGCGGAATATAAATTCTCACCAGAAGTGAGGCGTTCAATTATCACTCCAGGAAGTCCGCCGTTAACAAGGAAGGTGTAATCGAGCTTGAGAGACCTTAGATTATAGAGAAAAGGTAGGAGGAGGGCCACCATGGCGTAGACGTTTCGTGCTGCAATGGACTTGTACCAATCTGAACGGTCCTTCCGGCTTTCTATGATACTACTCACAATGTATCGAAGATAGTCGAGTTCCTGGGAAAAGGGCATCTTATCATTCTTAATGATAGAGGTCAGGTCAGGACTGCACCCTTGGATCCCAGGACTCTCAAAGATCTGAGTCTTTTGGGGAGGACTGCGCCCCAGTAAGTGCACCTCTCGGATTAAGCCACACAGGCGGCTGCGTGAGTCCTTATTTCGGACAAGAGTTGTCCACAGCGACATGAGTCGGTATCGAGACATCTTGTCATTCCAATCCCATTGAATCTTTCGATAGAGATAGCGAGTGGCAACACGATTTAGTGTGCGGGATGTCAAGCAAATGCTGTTGAGGTCTCCGGTCTCGAGATACTTGCAAATCTCATTCCAGACATCTTCCATAAGAAAAAAGTCAGACATCGTGGCGATCGATTTGATGCTTGCGTTTCCGATTTCGTAGTGCCTATGGGCATGTGGCGATATATCAAGATGTGCTCAATCATCTATAGGATCACAGCACCTTATAAAGGTACCATGGTTTTGTGTTGTCAGTAATACTTTTGGGATCTTGGAAAATCCCCGATTATAGCATTATTCTGGGAGATTAGTAGGTTTGAGGATATCCTGCTTACCATCCAGTAAGATGTGAAAGCTGATCCTGTACCAGCCAGCCTACTAATGAACCGTTTTGGGAACCGGTGCTTTTCAACATTTTCTGGCGTGTTCCGAAAGCCCACAAAGGGCTTGTTGATTTTGTGGAGTACTTCAGTCTTCACATGCTGGAAAAGTGAGAATCTGGATTTTGTGCCAGACGCCACAGAAATAAGAACTTCATCACTGGAAAGTGCGCTGTGGAAGACTCCGAAAAGAAAGCAAGATTAAAGAAAGCAAGATTTTGAGAGGAAAAATTCACGTAGGTCAGTCACACGGGGCCTAAAAGGTAGTCATTCACGGTTATGACCTCTTTCTCTATTATGGGACCGCCAATAAACTTTTCTTGTAAGTAAATGTGCTGTGCCGCAAAGTTATTTTCTATGATTACTGGGCACAAAGAAAAGGATCACGGCTGATGGTACGGAACATGTCTGTCTCCATTGCAGCACCACTCATACATCTGTAACAAAGGGACGACTGACATGGATGGTGTAGAGGATAGAACTGTGCATCTAATCAAAGCAATAAATAACCATAGCCCCGGTGACACCCTCGCAGAGGTATTGGTAAGGATATGCACTCATAAGAAAGGTGACTATTACTCAACCGTAATCTGCGCCATGGATGTATCGCCCTGAGACCGATAAAATAAATTCTTGAAGACGCTCTCTCCCCGGCGTAGTCAGAAAAGCGCTCTCAGATTCGACACGTCAAAAATGTATGCGGGACCCGGCGGCAGGTTCACTTAATTGACCCGGAAATGCATTCCCGCTTTCCTGTCGTTAGTGCCGTCATGGAGCCGCATACCTTACATAGATACCATGCTTGTTGCTCTCTTTTCCTTTTCTATCATGAGCATTTACTATGGCATTAGGTATCCGCGTTAACAACATGTTCTTTAAGGTTCGAGGCCTTCTAGCAAAGAAAACTTCTTGGGGGAGACGAATATCTTCAACTGCCTGGATATTATACTGAATACAGTGAGGATGCTATAACGGCAGAGTCTGAACAAAACTAAAGCATCATAACTGAACAATCTATTCTATACTGAATGGAGAAATCTGCGTTTTGACGAACCCAACCACCCCTACTCAGACCCCTTAATCCTCCCACAAAGCACTACATCCTCCCCAAACGGATACCACTTCACGCCGGTCAGCCTCGAAGCCGGAACAATCACACCCCCTTCGACCCTCCTCTTCGGTGAAACCACCACGCCCCCCTGGCCCAACCAAGTCGGAGCAATCGTAACAATCACCGAATCCACCAACGACTGACATCCCGGCTCAAGCAACGAGTTGATGATTGAACCACCTCCCTCAATCATCACACTCTTTAGCCCCTCCCGTACAAGACACTTTAACAACGCACTCCAATCAATCCGATGCGCACCATCCGAACCCACCCCCATCGGCAACGCAATAAACTTTCCCCCATGACTCTCCAGAACCTCCTTCTGAGCCGCAGAAGGCACCGTCTCCGCAGCCGTAACGATAAACGGAGCCCTGCCGCGCCCATTCCTCGCTAGCTCTAAGATCTTTGACTGCGCCGTAAACTCCCATCTGGCTGAGGGGTCGATGATGATTGGTCGGGGTTGGCCCGCCAAACCTTCGGAGCCGTATCCGCCTACCCCTGCCAGTCGACAGTTCAGGCCGGGGTTATCGGCAACGGCGGTGCCTACGCCGATAAGAATAGCGTCATGGCGCGAGCGTAGATAGTGCGTCATGGCTTTGGATTGCGGGCCGGACAGCACGGTCCGCGTGCCCGGGGCCAGAGCTAATTGTGAGTCGAGGGATGTGGCGAAGGTCAGGGTGGTAAAGGGGAGCGATGATGATGACGGGTTGCCATCTTTAGGTGGGAGATGGGGTTCCAAGAAGGTGCGGTCTTCGGTGGGGAAGTTGATGCTATCCATCGTAGTGGTGTTGCTGTTATTGTTGGATTGATGGTGGTGCGGTATCGGTGATATTAGCTCGGATTGGATGGCGGGGTTTACTGATGCCTCAGGCAAAATTTTGTGATTTGAGCGGTTTCAGTTCCGGGGATTGTTGATTGGTCGAAATTATGGGCGCTTTGCTTCGAAAGTCATCGGATCTGATTGGTTGGTTTTGGATGCTCCTTTCAAGTCCAGTTTTGGCTGTCAGCGACCGGTTTGCATGGCAGTAATTATTAATCCGCATGATAATGTGATGAGGTTAGATACATCGAATGTTTATGCTATACTGATAGTTGGATAGTTGGCATGTCATCCCCAGGCGGACTGCTGAATCCAATCCCGGTGAACCGTGCTATGTGCTAGAGACTTGTTCACGCGGTTCCTTAATCTTCCATGCTTTCAACAAAAGTGAACAATCCAGTACCTTCTTTGATGACCTTGTCGGAATACCCATTTTTGGAAATACACTTGCGTCATGTGACCCCTCCAATTACCGGTCAATTCCGGTCGCCTTCTCCCTGCCCTGTTCTCCTCAACCGGCACACACGATGCAAATCATTGTTGTCAGTCGTGATACAATCAACAAATCGGTCTACAGGACTTCTATTTCGAAATTGCGCGGTAATCAGAGAATGTCGGGTTTTTCATATTTCCAAGATTGAAAGTTCCAAGTCCCAACATGACAGCTCTTTTTGTTTTGGACACACAGCAGCTTGAATTACCTTGCAAGCACTGAACTCCAATGAATATGACACATAGTTTGAACAGGTGATGCTGGCAGGAAAAACAATACAATGTACATATGCAATGCAAGTATCGCTTCATAAGACACACAATGCAACCATGCAACCATGACAAATCATCAACGCCAAGATACCTTCGCTCCAGTACGTAATACAGGTATTAACACAACCCCTTCCCATCACATTAGGAGGTGAACCACATGAATCTGGGGCATCAAGATTAGCTGAAAGCGCAATCTTAAGTCAAGCAGATACCTACATCTCATAGGCCATAGAGGGAATATCCTTGCAAAGTGAGACACCAGATCGAATAAGGGATATGGTTGCACCCGTCAGCACGAGGATGGCCAATGGACGAAATGCCAGAAACCAGGCATATCTCCACACGACCCCTACTGCGGATCTGTAAGGAATCTGGTCAGCTCGCTAGCAAAGTTAGTTAGCAATCGTGCTGCAGCTTACATGAGAGTGGAGGTGGACGACATCTCAGTTAGTGGTGGGCGTTCTTTCTTTCAACGAACAAAGGGCCTTTTGTGGTATTGAGCAAGATGGCTTTCAAACTTCGATGATGAACAAAACGATCAAGACATGATCCTGGGAGGTGAGAAAAACAAGCCAAGGCTCTTATGTCAGGGTTATATCCCATTTGCTTGCGCCATTGCCAAGGTGGCAGCCTGCTATCGTCATCCCCAACGGGTCTCGTCCGAGCCACAACAGCATGGGTAAACGTTGCACCGTGCCAAAGACGCTGGATCTTTAGATAGAATTGTCTAATCCCAATCAGGAAGGCCCGTGGTGAAAAATGCTGCCTGAACCCGATGATCCTACCAAATCCTGCCTTCCGACTTTCCGTAAGCTGTCCACGGGGTCCTCAAGAGCTGGCCAACCAGAAGGGCTGGCTGGGTCAAGTTGCGCCAGATGCGAAAACTGACTGGGCAGGGCAGCCGGAAAACTTGCGTGGGGGCTCCACTATTGGCTCCTCGGGAGGGGAAAGGGGCCCGCTCCCTCAGCCCTACAAGGCTGCTGCTGGATTCTGTGAAATATCAGTTGACCCCTGGCTTTGCGCAACGTGGATGTCCTGTTTCTTGCTGCTTTCTCTTGCAAGATAAATCACTCGCTTTCTACCTATTCCGGCCCAGGCGCTCACGGATGAGAACCGTGTCGATCTTTGACATTTTGCTTGTTCGATCAGTCAACAAGCGCCTATATCATAGAATGGGCTGAGTGTACGCCTTTTCTGCCCGTTTCTGGCTTTCGCGTTTCTCTTGTGATTACATCCGTTGGCGTATCAAATCTTCTTTGTGTCGCTCTTTTTCCCTCTCTGAGGTGGCTGCTCAGTCTGGACTCACAGAATGGACGCGAAGGGACTCCACCGGTTTTCCCACTTTTCCTGTCGAACCCAGCAGGTCGTCACCTCGTCCACCTGGGAGGGCCTGCTTATAGAGCAGTCTACCTTGTCTGCTGACACCAAAGGTTTGGAGCGGGACACATGGTGGGTTGACATCTGCGACGCCACCGAGGAAGAGGTCAGCACTGTCTGCCAGGCATTGTCCATCCACCCTCTGACGGCAGAGGACATTGCGACCAGGGAACCTCGCGAGAAGATTGAAGCATTTCGGAACTACTATTTAATCTCCTTCCAAACCTTGCTTCCAACAGACGACCTCAAGAGTTCTCGAAGCCTCAAGCCATCATCGTCTATCCCCGGCTCCTCAGGGTTCTACATTCTGGTGTTCAAGAATGCCACCGTGACCTTTTCTCCCAGTGGTTGTCACCACATCGCCCGAGTCCGGGACCGAATCCGTCGGACACAGGACACGCATCTCGTATCGAGTGATTGGATCTGCTACGCTCTAATGTACGCCTACTACTTCATGTCCTAATTCCCGAACTACTGACAAGCCAAATAATAGTGACGAGATCATCGATGATTTCGAACCGTACATGCGCGCAGCAGAGCGCGAAGCCGATGCGATCGAAGATCAAGTGTTCATCGCCCGCGTCGACGACGTCAAAGCGCTCATTCCTCAACTCGATAGCCTCCGCAAAAGCATCACTCAGCTCATCCGCTGCCTGACCGGTAAATACGACGTCTTAAATGGCTTCGTCAAGCGCTGTCAGGCGAAGGACAGAAACCCAATGTTCCCGGATGGCGATCTTTTGGTGTACCTGGGCGACGTGCAAGACCATCTCGTGACCACATTGACCAGTTTGTCACATTTCGATGAGATTGTGGGCCGGTCGCAATCGAATTTCCTGGCCCAGCTCAGTGTCAACAATATCCGGTTGAGTTACGATGTCAATGCGGTCTTGAGTAAGGTGACCATCCTGGCGACAATCTTTGTGCCCTTGCATATGGTCACTGGGTTGTTTGGTATGAACGTCGAGGTGCCTGGACAGAATGTAGAGAACCTTGGATGGTTCTTTGGTATCATAGGGTGCATGTGTGCATTTGTCGTGGTTTGCTGCTTGCTTGCGAAGAGGCTGCGGTTGCTCTAGACATACTATTTTCATATGGTCGCAAATCATCCACGATAGCATAACTTGGGCGATGATATTCGCAAAACTTTCTGTCGGACAAGATCTTTCAGCATATAGTAATGAGCTTGAGGACCGTGTAGAGATTAGAGAGTTTGTAGAAGTCACACCGTCTCAGGTGACCGGGTTCCTGCCAGTTTCACCTCACTTCATTCCTCTATCCTTAATCTTCCCGTCAACTCACCGTTACCAACCTATCGTCTCAAGACATTTGTCATCGTCTAATCACCTCCCATGCTATCTCTAATCGATGATCATATCTCTCGATCGATATTTGTTATCGACGAGATCTCCGACCAAAGTCCCATACAGCAAGCTTCCCCGTCCCCGCTCCTGGCCAGGGACGACGGACCGTCCCATGTGGAGTAAATCGCAAAATGTTGAGGCGCTTCAGACGGAACACGGGCAGGCAAACCGATCTAGCCGGGTCGCTGATCATACGAGTACCTGCTCATTGCTGGTATCAACCAATGGGCCTGCAGACTAGTGTCGGGGCTTGATAAACTGAGGGTCGAAGGCACGGTCGCGGACCGCGCAATTACAGATAAGCACTGCTGTTCTATCATGGAGCATAGCTAATCCTTCCCGATAGAGTGATAGTTTCCAGACACTACGTCGATGAAACCATAGACAATATCGACCAGCCTGTTGTTGGGATAGTGTAAGGGTATAACATAGCCGGACTATACCCACGGCTGGCTGGCCAAGGCATCCTGGAAAAACTTGCCTGTTCCGGTACCCTTGCACGTGACAGGGGAGAGCTGGTTCGAAGAATGCTCATCCCTACTGTGTCCGTCAGTCATTGTCGGCATCGGAAAGATACGGCTCCGATACCTTATCTGGCCAGTAAGACAAGCCTTTTCCATCACTGCAGCCAAGACGCACTCCTATCGGAGAGTCCGCCAATGGCATTTCCCAGCTGCAAGATAAGCCAGTTAGGTAATCCAACAGTGTCCCACCAAGACATTCGGCCCGATTAATGACTTCGCTGCGCTAGACTGCCTCCGTCTCTCCCTTATTCTCAGCCAGGTTACCTGAGAGAATCACGTAAATTCGCAACCACGATTCATACGACTCAGTCACCTCGCACATGCAATTTGCTCTGCCTTTCCAATGGCTTCTACTATCACCACACTAGGCATGTTAGCCGAGTCACCAGAGGACCCCAGGCCCGTGCGATGACATCAGCGGTATCGGGGGTCCCACGTGGCGTCGTGGCTAACGGATAACACCAATCAGGGGCACCGATAGACGAGGAGAGCCTCTGGGAAATGAGCGCCGGCGGGGGACGGCTGGCCATTGGGGAGGCGTTGGATTCAAGGTCCGGTGCACCCGCTAAACTGGGTGTAGGAAAGCTGTCCCGCGAAACAGCCAGGAATCGCAGACGGGATGTCATGGTGATCCACTCGAGTCCACTTGCCCATGTTCCTGTGCCTCGTCTCCGTGGAATAGGGAGATAGAGGGGCAACTCCGGGACGCCAGTACGCAGTAGCGGCCTTCTATACGACCCGCCGGCGAAGCTTACCAGGTCGCTGCGTCGCTTGACCATTGAGCTTCGTTATAACTCGTCCCACCGACGCGCAACTTGGTCTTGCCGATATGGGACTAAGCCGGATATATCTTAGACCGAATTTATTGTTGCTGACGCCTTGCATGCACCTTTAAAATCTTTTCGATTTCTCTTAAAACTTTTTTTTCGTTTTCTTTATTATCTGCCAGTTAACGCTTCCTAACCCAGCCTGCCCTGTCTATTTTGCCTCAACCACGCTGCATAACCGACAAGCAATCATGGCAGACATCAAAGCAGCTGCGAACCCAGCCATGGAGACTGACGGTGCCGAACTCGAGAAAGTCCGCATCGCCGGTACGAATCAGGCCGACACTCAACTCGCCGCAGAGTTTGGTTACAAGCCCGTCTTCAAGCGAGAGTTCGGTTATCTCTCCACTTTTTCGTTCGCAGTCAGTATCAGTGGTCTGTTTGCAACCATCATGACCACCATGTCCTATCCTCTCGAGGCGGGAGGAAGCAGCGCGGTGGTATGGTGTTGGTTTGTTTCGGGAGCCGGGTGCATGTGTATCGCGGTAGGTAGTCCGACATTACAATGCGCTCTGCTGAGGCTGATGTGACATACTGCAGCTTTCAGTTGCTGAGCTTGTATCCGCCTACCCGACATCTGGAGGCCTGTAGGTGTCACTATTCGCTCGGGACGACGGCTGCTGACCCTAGGCGATAGGTATTTTACGATCTCGAGACTTGCTCCACATGATTGGGTTCCATCGATCAGTTGGTATGGAAATACTGATGATTTTGCTTCAGAGGATAAATGTTGATACTGTTTAGGGTGACCGGTTGGTTAAACTTTCTTGGCCAGATCTGCGGTGTGGCTTCATCTGAGTATGGTGGTGCGCAAATGCTCCTGGCCATTGTCTCGATGTGCAAGGGGATGGACAATTACGAGATCAAAACCACAACCACCGTTGGTGTGATGGCTGGTTTGACTTTCATCACCGGTCTAGTTAACTCTCTGTCTACATACTGGATGGAAAAGATGACCAAGTTCTATGTCATCTTTCACGTCTGCATCCTCGTGGCTTGTGCTATTGCTCTTCTGGTCATGACGGACGACAAACACGATGCCTCGTATGTCTTCACCCATGTCGAATCGACCACTGGTTGGCAGCCTATCGGTTTCAGTTGGCTGTTTGGCTTCCTGTCTGTCAGCTGGACCATGACAGACTATGATGCCACAGCTCATATTACCGAAGAGATCAGCAACCCTGAGATCAAGGCGCCTTGGGCGATTTCAATGGCTATGCTGTTCACTTATCTGGCTGGCTTCCTGTTCAACATCGTTCTGTGCTTCTGCATGGGTGACCCGAACGCTATCCTTAACTCCAAGATGGAACAGCCAGTCGCACAGATCTTCTATAACAGCCTTGGCAAGGGTGGTGCCATCTTCTTCACCGTTTCTGCTCTGCTCATTATCAAGTTTGTGACCTTCACAGCCATGCAGTCGCTTGGCCGAACTGTCTTTGCTTTTTCCCGTGACCGCATGCTTCCCTTTTCCAACGTCTGGGTCAAGGTATCTCCCATGACTGGCACTCCCCTCTATGCGGTCTGGATCTCCGTGTTCTTCTGCATTGCGATCAATCTTATCGCTCTGGGCTCCTACACGGCAGTTGATGCCGTCTTCACCCTTTGCTCCATTGCTCTTGACTGGAGCTATTGCATCCCCGTTCTGTGCAAACTGCTGTTTGGCCAATTCAGACCCGGACCTTGGCACATGGGCATCTTCAGCAACTTCGTAAATGTCTGGGCCTGCCTCTGGACGCTCTTTGTTAGCATCATTTTCGTTCTTCCCACGGATCGTCCCGTGACCCCTGACAACGTAAGTGGAAATCATTGCATACCCGTGCTCTCTTTGGGCTGACCAAATCACCCTACCTCAGATGAACTATGCCTGTGTGTTCCTGGTGTTTGTCTTGCTGTTTGCGCTGGTTTACTGGTTCATCAGCGGCAAGCGCTTCTACCATGGCCCTATTACCGAAGCAGTTGTAGCAGATTCAGCCTCCGAAAGCAACCTACCCGGCGACGCCAAATCGGATAAGGACGGACGAGAGAACTGATGGACGGCCATTGTGTTTGCCCGAGGCGCTCTTCGACACACCCGCATCATTATATCTACCCCCGCGACATGATACCCGAGCGAACCCCTGCAACAAGCCCGTGTACGAAACGATCCCTTGAGCGACAGCCCGTATGCCGACCCAAGCGAGCCCCGCAGCAATCTATGCCCAGCGCCTGTTATATACCCAGCGACATAACATTCCCATACGGAGCCCTTCACCCACCCATTGGATCCCTTGCGACAACCGGCCATCCCAGCGAGTATTGGATTTTCCCTGCGCCACGTGACTACTAATCCCCCATTTGGATACCATCCCTTAGCGACCTCCGTTGAACGAAGCCCTGTAGCAACAAACCGAAGCCCGTGCGTGTGCCGAATTTCCCTTGCGACAATGGACCGACCGGATCGATGCCCCAGCAACCAGAAGTTTGTTTAGTGGCCCATATGTAGGAAGGTTTCTCTTCACATGAGGTTCTGCCTGGTGTGGGAGATTGTTGACTTGCTCGTTGTTCTGTATATACTGTTCCAAAAGTTTCTGCATTTCTTGCAAGTAATGATTTTACCTGGTGCTTGCTGTTGAGAATGCTTGTTCGTTTGTTTGTTGTGGCCCTTTGAAGCCTTGAGTGGCATGATGGATACGACCCGACGCGGCAATCGGAGACCTCCCAAAGCCCATGCGCCTGTTCGTCAACGGTTTGACAAATCGTTCGCCAAGACCCCCGCGGATACTACCGCACGTGCCCCTGCCCTAACGCCAGAAGATAATTCCGACTATTTCATGCTTATTTTCCAGAGACGTCGATATAGGACGGGGTATCATCCGTTATAGATGATATTCTCAACGTCTACCATCCCGATACGGTTCAGCCCTATGCGCTACTGAACTCGGGCCCACGCCAACAGCCGTCCATCCATCGAGACAGCGAGACGTCGGAGGTTCCCATGTCCTTCAACTTTGTCCTACGGCGATGGGATTCTGGCACGATTTCAGCCCCATCCCTTACAGATGTATGCTAGAGCCAGTGAATTAATTGGAGAGGTGGTGCGTTCCGTTTTCTGGATGTTGGTCGGGATGTCAGATTTTAATACTATGCATCCGTTCACGCAGCTCTACCTTCCTTTTCCCCCGAGCGTGCACTTTTCTCTTGTAAAATGACCCGCTATAACGACTAATATTAGCCCATTCACTATCGCCGAGCAATCATCACAGGCACCTCAATCACCCTGCTAGATAGCAACACAATCCCAATCCAGAGAAACTCAAACTGTCGCCCTTTTGACGTTCCGTGTCCCTTCCATCTCTCTCCGTCAGTCTTTCGTACTCCACGGGTGCCACGTTTGCCCTCTTACCATCTTCGATCCTTTCTAGAGCCTCTTTTCTCCTTCTATCTACTTCAACCACATTGAACTAAACCCCCAAAAAAAGGCAAAAAAAGGGAGGGGGGACCGCAAACCAACACCACCCCTCCGACCCTACCACCTTCATTCATCCCTCCCATCGCACCCCCACCAAAACTACCACAATCACCACCATGACCAAAAAACACCCCCATAAACCCTCCATCTCGGCCTCCTCACTCGGCCAAGTGCGCAAAATCTACATGTCAAAGATGACCGAGCAGGGCTGTTCCCGCACCCTGAAGGACAAGTGCAGAGACATATGGGATCAAGTGATCGATGACGCTGTCGAGGCAGATGCCGAATGTTCTGGAATGGGATTTGCATATGGGTATGGAAAGGAACTGGAGCCAGTTTACATTCCGGACAAACCAAACGGAATCCAGAAGAAGGAAAACGGAAAGAAGGAACAACACGAGGGAAGTACCGAGTCCGAGACGGAAAGTGAGGAGAGCAATTCCGAGACGGAGGTGGAAATCGATCCGAGTCTGGATGGGAGTGAGTGTGAGTGTAGGTCTGGGTGTGCGTGCGCGTGCGCTTGTTGTCGCGTGGAGTATCCCGAGAGTTTGGTGGAGAGTGATGGGGGGAGTGAGGCGGAGAGTTTACTTTCTTGTGGGTTGGATGGCGGGGAGGGGGATGATGAGTAGTGAGTGGGTAGGTAACATTGCAGTGGGCTTTGTTGGGCTTGGATGGTTTGGTGGGAAGTTCCGGGTTTGGGGATGGTGATGGTAGTTTGATATTGGGAATTGGGGGGTTGGAATGTTCCGGGGATAGGGGTATTTATGCATTTAGGATGATATTAGGTGATTGTTTTTGAAGAACATAAATATAATTGTTATTTTCTTCTAATTCTTCTGTTGTAGAGATCATATTGTGTAACTTGGTCACTTACTCACTACTCATCACTCACCACGTATCGTGTTCAATACTCATCCCCCAGCATTAGCAGCAACCTCACCACCATGTCTTCCCCATCAAGATCATTCAGCCCCGATGATGTGAACTGCCTTGATAGAGACTTGAAGAGAATACAGGAAAGACTGTCTCAGGAAGTCGACTACTTCTTATCTTCCCAGACTACTTTATTGTTGGATTACATGGACGATATTTCCAGGTGTCTGGGACTGCAAAAAACCAATCTCAAGGAACTGCGTGATCAACTGGCCCGAGGACTGGAACAAGTAGAGGCTACCTTGGAGACTCTCAATGTTGAGGCGAAAGAGGCGTCACAGGGAGAGGCTACCATGGAGGCTCTCGGAGTTGAGGAGAAAGAGGCGTCACAGGGAGAGAAGAAGGTAATGAAGAAGGAAAGTGGGCAGAATCAACATCAGCATCATGCAGCGAAGAGTCCGGTTACTAAGAGTCCGAAACATGGTTTGTCACCTCCAGCAAAGGTTAAGGTGCAGGAAAGTGATGGGGATGCGGACTGCTCCGAGGTGGAGGTTGAAAAGGAGGATTTTAACACTTTGTTCGGCTAGGATATAGATTCAGTGTAGATCCGATGGATAGACTGTCTGTATCTGGGATGGGAAGTGGGTGTGTGGTGGTTGGATTTACCATATTGATACTACTATATGAAGCTTGCTGCTGAACTGATATGCACATTCCTGTGTTCTGGGATTATAGTGTCATATTATATAAACTGTGGACTTTTTAGCTGTTCCCGATATAATGATTAACTTGAATGTGGTTCTCCTATGCTCTACCTCTTATTTTCATCACGTATCAGTACATATCAGTACATCTACGTAGATAAGGCTACTCGCAATATAGAATCATGCGCTTTGTAGTTTGACGTATACCCTGAACAGCAACTACATCATATCCAGTGCTGCTTTAGCTTATCGGTTCCTTCAACACAGACCTTCCATGGCCTATATGTTACATCCTCCCATTGAAGAATCTCCGATCTATCAGTATCTTCTGCACAACGGTACGTTACATGATGAGGGGAAGGTGACACTACTAGTATGCTCTAGTACATGATCTGCATCCAACTGTCGGGGCAATCCGATGATAACCCGACCCCTCATGGGTTATCAGAGTGAAGCGCATATCAACTCCGTGCGGGGTTCCGACTTAGCCATCAACTTGGCAATCGTAACCAATCAAGGATCTCTTCTAGGTATCGTTTCCAGGTCGCATGAAACGGTCAATATAAACCTGCTAGCCGAGCTGCAACCTTGCTATCGTGCTGCACGACTTCACTAGTATTTGCAGGTTACATGCGCGTCTGCCAGGGTACTACTAATTCGGACGTACGCCCATTGCCATCTCCAAAAGCATAGAGGTACATCACCATGCGGTGGGGGGCACTTGGCACACTTAGTCTTATTCTTGACTTCACCATCTGCGGTATGTGCCTTGTTCTATTATAACTCATGTAGTCTCTTACAGTCACAGGGTTCGCCCGTTTGGTGACGGTCCCCACTATTCCCTTTGATGATGACAATGGCACTTATGCACTGTCACAACTCACCAAGATTGTCGTGGATGCTCGCCATGCCAGTACTGTGGATACTCAAGGCCAAACATTGATTCCACCGACATTGAAAGAATTTGCCGCGACCTTTCAAGAGGACCTTCGTTCTTCTCTTGGGATCGACCTCCCACTTGTCACCAGTAGTACCTCTAGCAACCATGCAATTTTCCTGACCCTCTCCAATAACACGGACATCCGCGATGTTGCGGGACGCTTCACAGCGGAGGCATATGCCTTGCTCATCGACAATCATGGAATTACCATCTCTGGGGCGAGCCCCTTAGGCGTCTGGTGGGGAACTCGCTCGCTAATCCAGGCTGCTGTAGTTAGCAAACGCAACCTCCCTCAAGGCTCTGCAATCGATGCTCCAGGATGGGGAACGCGAGGCGTCATGGTAAGCCCTCACATCACCTGTACACAACCCTACATCTAACTGATAAGCTCGATGCCGGACGTCACTACTACCCACCCGACTTCTTGATTGAGATGTGCTCGTATCTGTCCTTCTTCAAGCAAAACGTCTTCCACCTCCATCTGAGCGACAATCTCTACAACAACGTCGATCTCTACTCTACCCAGGAATCTTTGGATCTCTACGCAGCATTCCGGCCCTGGTCCGACGACCCCGCCCTATCTGGGCTCAACAAACGAGCCAACGAATCGTACACGCGCAGCCAATTCGATAACATCCAGCGCCAATGCGCCCGTCGTGGTGTCACCATCATCCCTGAAATCGAAGCGCCCGGCCATGCCCTCGCCATCGTGCAATGGCGACCAGAACTTGGCCTGACAGACCTCAGCATGCTCAACATCAGCCATCCAGACACCATCCCGACCATGAAAACAATTTGGAAGATCTTCCTTCCTTGGTTCCACAGCAAAACCGTCCACCTCGGCGCGGACGAATACTCCTCTTCCTACGTCTCCGACTATACCGACTTCGTCAACGACATGCACACCTACATTGCCGAGCAATCCGACAAAAACACCCGCATCTGGGGCACCTTCACCCCATCGCAGGGTGCCAACGTCTCCAAAGCGGTCACCATCCAGCACTGGGAGTTCTACGAAGACAACCCCTACTTCGACTACATCAAGAACAACTACTCGGTCCTCAACTCCGACGACGCCTTCTACATAGTCGGGAAATGGTCCGGAAGCTATCCCCAGTACCTCAACAAGACGCGAGTCTTCCACGGCGATCCATCAAACAACGGCCCCTACGCGCCCAACATCTTCTCTACCACTAATGCAACCGACAATCCTCCAAGAGATAACCCCTACGTACTCGGCCACATCGCCGCCCTCTGGAACGACTACGGTCCCAACGCAACGACCTATCTCGAGGCGTATTACTCCTGGCGTGACGTCCTCCCTGCACTAGCAGACAAGCAATGGGGCGGGGATATCCTGGAAGATGAATACGATGATGTATTCGATACCCTCCATGCTGTGGTCCCGGGACAGAACCTCGATCGCCATGTTCCGAGCAAGACGGATCTAATACTGCAGTACAACTTTGCCAATATCACTGGGTCAACTGTCCCGGATTTATCTGGAAACAACTATCACGCTACATTAAACCACACCTGTCCCATCAATACATCTAACTCCACCTTAAGATTCACAGGAACATGCACCCTCACCACCCCTATCCAAAGCAAAGGAAGAGACTATACCCTCTCTTTCTCTGTATATCCTTCCACAACTCACCCGTCACCTTTATTCTCAGGGAGGGACTCTACCCTCCTCAACGGCAACGGGTCAATCAGTAATATCACCCTTGTGAGCGGCGGGAACCCATACACACTGAACTACAGTCTCCCGGTCGGAAAATGGTCGGATCTGAGCTTGATCGGAAAGGGAAACAGAACATTTTTATCTGTTGATGGGGGCAAGAAGATGGAGTTCCTAGCGAGACTAGGCGTGAATGGGGAGTACTCGGTGTGGGCGCCCATTGCGATCGAGGCACCGGTGCAGAGGATCGGGGAGGGATTTGTAGGGATGATGGGGGAGGTTAAGTTGTGGGGGAGTGCGAGGTGAAAATACTACTACATACTACTAGTACTTTTTTCACTGATGACTTTTGGTAGTCAATGCTACTAGTAGTACTATGATGTCTGTCGTTGAATATTTGAGCGCATCACAAGGCATTCAATCTAGTGGTGTCGATGCTTAGGAGCAGAAATATATATTACTACTAGTACTGAGAACGACTGCAACTGAACAAGACCTAGAAACCAACCACAAAAACCTCACCCAGTTCGACTTTCACAAAATTCGCCACTTCAACCCCCCTTATAAACAAAACCAAGAATCCAAACCACCCATTTATGGTCCAGGTCACCCATGAGTCCCTGAATATTACTATCACTGGATGCTGGGTAGACTAGAGGTGGGTAATGGTTCCCCTCCCTCCCGTCTGCCGGACCCGCCCAGATTAAAGTTTTTCTCATTGCAATCTACTCCGTACTAGTTCTAAGCGAAGTGCTCCAGAAGCACGATTTTGTTCTGGTGAAACTCTATTCTTCTCTATTTATGTTCATATCACTAATAAAAATATGTCGCATTAAGTCACAAAAGGCAAAATTTTTAATGTGCCAAACCGACCTACCTAGCTTTGATGGGTAGGTAGCATGGATAGTTGGAGAGGAAGGGATGGAAAAAACAAAAAAATGGAGCTGAAGGGGATCGAACCCTTGACCTCTCGCATGCAAAGCGAGCGCTCTACCACTGAGCTACAACCCCAGTTGAGATACTTTCCTTTTCCATCTAATGATTCAGGAGATACTCATTAACTTTTTTCATTCACTGGTATCATGAACAAAAGTAAACAAGTGATGTTCACAATAATAAATATATGTATGTATGTATATTCGCCCCATCTATCTATCTATATATCATAGCAGTCATAACATGTCATATCATCTAGTAAGAAGGAAAGATGAAGATCAAATCCCAAAAAACCAATGATAATGTATAGCCCACTTTTCCGTCCCGCTGTTCCCCATCTGTAACCCGTTGTATCCCATCCCATCTAGGGAGAAAAAAAGAAAGAAAGAAGCAGGTAAAGTACCCTCTCACCAACACCAAACACAACAGATCTCAGATCAAAACCAGTAAGAAGGGAATCATCAAAAAGCAAAACAAATAATGGTGTCGAAGAAGTGAATCGAAGTCAAAAGAAAAGAAGAGAAAGCAGAAGAAGAAAAGTCTATTTATATCGCGCAAACAGTATCATCCCTATCACCCGGACCAATTCCCCTCCTGCTCACACTAAAGAATGCAATAATCAGGCCTAGACCCGCTAGACCAGCAGAGCACCACAATCCCGTGCGGTATTGATGCGCGAGATCATGTCCCTTTTTGATGTCTACTTCTTCAGCGACGGCCGCGGAGATGGCAAGGGCGACGCCGGAGCCGATTTGGAAGGCTGTGTTGAGCTATTTTCTTCATTAGTTTGGGGTTTCCAATGTGATGTAAGAAAGGGGATAGGGAATGGAGCTTACCATTCCACCACATAGACTCTTCACATGCACAGGGACGGTAGTGAGAATGGCAGTGCTGGTGGTCACGAAGATGAGGGAGACGGCAGTGATGCTGATCAGCGAGGTGGGGAGGACATTGACCCAGCTGGATGTAAATCATTAGCATGCATTCATTCTTTCAGGGGATAGAGTGGATCACGTACAAACTGGTTTCTGGGCTGGATGTGATAGCGCTTGGGACTGGGGCGAGAACAGTCAGGATCAACCCCGCCAGCAGGGTGTATTTCCCGTTGACGTATTCCAGGGCCTTGCCGGTGCCCATGGAGGCGATGAACCCGATCACTCCCATGGGGAGGAAGCGGAGTGCGGTGTCGCCGGCGGACAGCTTGTCCACTTCTTGCGCCATTAGGACGATGTAGTAGATGACGTTTTGGTAGCTGCCGTAGCAGGCTGGAGGGGTAGGTTAGGTCTCTGTATGCAGAAGGATTAGGGGTGGAGGGACTCACTA